CTTTCCGTCGCTATCTCATCAAACATCAAAACCTGATGGACGACTCGGGTTTTCTGGTTTGCTATGACTTCGTCCATGCCCGTGAAACACGATACAACATTTTCTGTGACCTCCTCTGGCTTCGGTTTTGAATGGGAAGGAATGATTATGGGAACCGTGGAACGACCTCGAATTGTGGAAAGCCCAGGGAGCGCAGCGCCAGTTTGGTGAGCTATCTCAGCCATCTGAGTACCGCCAATCCGCCAGTTCAGCAGCTGACGCATGTCATCCTTTTCGGTGTAGTTTTTTAGATGGTACAGTCCAGCTGCTGCTCGGTCATATGAAGCCTGTAAAGAATGGATTCCGAGACGACGACTCATGGCAGCATGGACAATCCTGTCGACACGCTCATATCTTGGACGCTGAATCAGTATAAAGGCGAGATTTTGTAAGTCTGCTCTTACCCTCCATCGGCCAGTCCCATAACAAATCTTTTATAATCATCAAGACTGCCCTGCTTTCCGACAAGCTTTCTCACGGTATTCAATCCCCTCAACCGCAGCGTATCTATCTGGGCCATCTTCCTTCGTGCGACTTCGGCTAGCCCAGAATGGCCGTGATATGCATAGGGAGCATTTTCATCCACTCTGCTCTCAATGCGTTGCATGATTCCCCGCAAAACTGGACTGTCATCGAGCTGGGTACAAGCGCTACAGAGCTCTGTAGATGGAATTCGAACTCGCATGCAAGCACGAGCTGTCACCGTCATTTTACCACTCTTAACAGCATAATCCCAAGGCAACACAAGGGTATCATGCAGTCCAAAGGGATATGAGGAGCTTGGGGACTTTCCAGGTGGAAAGTCTAGGCGATAACCAAGGCATGGCCTTGGTGATTCAATCTGTTCACCGGCTGGCAAAGATTCCTGCCAAGTGTTGACATCTATAGGGATTGGAGCAGAATCGGCAGATTGGGTGGTCGTTGGATTAATCGGTTGAGATTCAAGGTCCTCACGTGGAACTTCTGTCTGGGTAGCCAGAGAGCTATATATCACGGTCAGTCTGAGCTGTTTCTGTCTGGAACTTGTATGCTTACAGAATATCTAGGGCATGCATCAGGACCTTCATTTTTCCTTCAAGAAGATTTCCAGTGATTCCACGTTCCTGGATAAAATGGGCGAGATGGGCCACCAATCCGTCCAGACCATATAGACCACGTCGAACTTTTCCTGCAACGATTTCGGCAGTTGTGCCATATCCAAGAAACCGATTCAGAATGGGATCCAGCGTCTGCCATGCCTCTTCATCTGGATCATAGCCTGTGGGATCAACTCCAAAAGCAGCCATAGCACCATTTTCATCGACTTGACCGTCGGGTACCGAAAGCGGAATTGTCATGACCTTTTTCCATAGAATTGCAAGGTAATGCAGTCCCACTGGATCACCAGATGACAGTGCAACCACTGGCTCTACAGCCGAAGATGCAACTACAGGTGCGAGACTTTGAATTAATGTAGGTGCCATTACTGTGGGTGGAACCTGTGCAGCCTTTTTCGCGGCTCCTTTTGCAAACCAACCCTGCAACATATTCTGCTGACCTGCTTTCTGCTGGTCTGCTTTCCATTGCACCAGATTTTTTGCGCAAACATCGCTTCCAAGATGCCGTTTGGACCAGTTTGCCAGGCCAACATTACCTACATTGACGTCGGTATGACAAGCAGGGCAAGTAACAGTGCCATTGGGATCAATGGTTGGGAGAACCTCGAGAACATTGGATTCTGGGGTCTATATCAAGCTAAATTAGCACAGAATTGACTGTGAATGAACGACAAACCGTCATTTGCATTGCAATGAAAATTTTGATGATGACGTTGTCTGTCAAGGTTGTGACAAAGAACAGCTACGTGATATGGATCCCAAATTTGGAAATGCCGCCGGTTCAGCTTGTCGGTCAACTGACACAATTCACAATAACAATCTCAAGGTCGACATGGCTCAATACATTCAAAATCAACGAAAATGACCCAAAAAAAGTTGGTTCCAAATTTTTTTTTTCCGCGTCCCGGGCTGGACTAACTAACCGAGGTCCGGTTATATAATCAAAGTCCGGCGCCCCCTTGGCTCGTCGGCTAATGGTTTTCAGCATCGAGAGACTGGTTTATCGTTAGCCACTTCTTCAGTTGCCTTATCCATACCCATCTGACGGGTCTGTTCCCATCTCGGACGCAGCAAAGCCTGACCCACCTCCGAGGATCATCTCTCCAATTTGACGCACCTTGCATTCTCCATCGTCCCAATGGTTCCTAATAGAATGGGGCCACTGTCGACCTTTCTCTCCAACCCAGATTTACCGGATTCTCTGCAATATCAATCCAGTCTGTACTGTAGCGAGCTGCCATTTTTGCGCCAATCAGTCATTCGGTTGACCTTGGGTTGACCCGTGTATCGTTTTGGCCTATGATCCGCCCATAGACAGTGCCCATAGAATCTGTCTCAGACATTCTATGGAGAGCCACAGCGCGAAGGTCAATAGTTCTCGAGGATTGGGGCTGTACTAGCACCGAAGGAAAGCCGGACATGCGAGATTTGGATGACTAACCGAGAATCCAAGGCACTTTTCCTTCCTCCATTCTTATACCTTTTCCAGACCACGGAAATGCATAATGGTTCGGTCTGAGCAATTGAAGATTGACCAGACAGGTACCCTTGTCTTTCATTCAGCAAGACATTGCTTTCAGCCATCGAGAACCGAACTGTCTTTGCATCTATTTCGTTCGTATTTCGGCAAGTCTCTTATGTCGTTCCGTCCATGGAAGCCTCTGATTATCCACCAGGTTCTTCCGACCCATATTCTATGGCAGCTTCGTCTGTATGGGCTCCAGGACGAGACTGAGACCGAGATCAATATGCTGAACCGATTACAATCACAAATTACTGCTTCCGAAGGGCGAAGATCAGACAGCGCTTCTAGTTTTGCGAGGACCATCCGAGTAGTCTGTCCGCGGTCCGGTTCGGTCCCCTCCAGTTCAGGTTCAATCGGTTCTGAACCGGACCGCGGACAGACTACATCCGAGAGCTCCTCCTCCGTTGGTGAGAGCAAATCTCTCGAGGGTTGCACCTGATCTAAATCGATGCTTTTACAGGCGACTTGATTCAAGGTCTTTGCAGCTGACCTGATGGCGAGAAGCGACATTCACCTCGATATCACTGACCTTCGGTCGCTCTTCGGCGTCGTAGTCAGTGCCTAGCCTTTCGACGTTGCAGAGTGCCAAGCCCTTCGGCGTCGCAGAGTGCCAAGCCTCATGATTTCATTGTCTAACGACCTCGTGCTAATTCAACGTCGGGATAATAGCTCAAGGATACTGTCCACCTTTGGCCGCCACTTTTTCCGGATGCTTGATATTAAAGGACCCTATTGACAAGAGTCTTTTCCGACTGTCGTAACAATCATATCGACAATCATTCCTCAAAAATGGTCCTCAAATACGCTCTGGTCGCGCTGATTTTGGCTGTCCCCGCCTTTGGGCAGGCTCAGCAGTGGGGTCAATGTATGTTTCAGCGAATTTCTTCACTTCTTTTTCTTTACCGACGTTTGACGTTGACAGGTGGTGGTATTGGATGGAAGGGAGCTACGACCTGTGTCACTGGGTCGACTTGCACGACCATCAATGCTTATTACTTCCAATGTCTTCCTGGTACTGCTACGACCGCTACGACTGCGACGACGGTCACGACGATCGCTTCTACCACCACTGTAGCTTCTACCACGACAGTAGCCACGACCACTGGGGGCTCCACGAGCACCGCTGGAGGCTCTGTCCCCACGGCCTGCTCTTCTCTCCCTGCTTCCATCAATCTCGTCTCAAACCCCAAGTTCCCCAATCCCTTCAAGTTTTTGAACGGTTCTGCCATCACCACCAAAGCCGATTTCGCGTGTCGCCAGCAGGAAATCAGTCAGCTCTTCCAGCGATACGAGTTGGGCACTTTACCAGGGAAACCAGACAGTCTTACCGCTTCGTTGTCGGGCTCTACCCTGACGATCAATGTCTCCAATGCCGGAAAATCCATCTCGTTCACGGTTTCTATCACCAAACCCTCCGGAACCGGTCCATTCCCTGCTATCATCGGCATTGGCGGAATCAGCATCCCGACTCCAGCTGGTGTAGCGGTCATTAATTTCAACAATGACGATATGGCGGCGCAGACTGACCAGTCGAGTCGCGGCAAAGGAAAGTTTTACACGCTTTTCGGCAGCGGGCATTCTGCCGGTGCTCTGACAGCTTGGGCTTGGGGTGTCAGTCGGGTCATCGACGCGCTCGAGCTCACTCCGTCTGCCAATATCGACCTCTCGAAGCTCGCTGTCTCCGGGTGCTCCCGAAACGGCAAAGGGGCCCTTGTCGCTGGTGTATTCGAACCCCGTATCGCTCTTACGATCCCACAAGAGTCGGGTTCTGGAGGCGCAGGGAGCTGGAGAATCTCTGACAAAATCGGGGATACGACGCAGACTGCTCACGAAATCGTCGGGGAGAATGTCTGGTTCTCGCCGGTGTTCAACCAATACGTCAATGCGGTGCCGACGCTTCCTTTCGACCATCATATGCTTTCGGCGATCATTGCGCCACGCGCTTTGCTGATTATCGATAACACTGACTATGTCTGGTTGGGTCCGGAATCGGTCTGGGGGGCGCAGCTTACTGCTCGGATGGTCTGGCAATCCCTGGGTGCGACTGATAATATGGGAGTGTCGCTTGTGGGAGGTCATTCTCATTGCGCTTTCCCGTCGAGCCAGCAGCCGGATTTGGATGCGTTTGTCAACAAGTTTTTGAAGGGACAGTCGACCAACACGAATATCGCCAGAACTTCGGGTGCGAACAATAATGGGTACGTCCAGTCGGATTGGGTTGACTGGACTGTGCCGAGTTTGACTTGAGAAAGAGGAAGGTTTTGTTTTGTTTTCAACTACCAAATACGATGTTGCTATTCCCTCGCTTCCCTTTGTCAGGCTTGAAATTGCCTTCAGGTGCGTTGATGGTGTAGTGGTAGCATTGTCGCTGCGCGACAACCCAGGTTCGATTCCTGATCCGGCGCCTGTTATCGGGAATTGGATATTTGTATCGTTTTGGTCACTGATTGTTTTCCGGAATGACATACAACATGGTAAGAATGAAGAGCAACGTATCGATGCTCACCAGTCCAGGATCTCAAACCATGCACGGAAGGCGAAGGATCTTGCTCGCTATCGACGCAAGACGGCAGCGCCTGAAGGCATCCTATCAATAACAAGCGAAAATCCATCTCACAGAGACACTCACTGAAGCGCCGAATAGCCTTTATCATCGGAGGAGGTTTTTGTTTCAGAAATATCGCTGTCTGGCGCTTTGTTGCTGTCACGGCTGGGTCGTCGACTGACGGTTCTGGGTAAGCCAGGGTTTTACACCGTAACACGACATCAAGCAAAAGAAGCATCAAAAGCGAAAAGAATAGCTTATACAGCCACCGATCCTACTTTTTTTGTCTCCTCCGTTGTCCGACTTCCGATTCTTTACACGCATTGAAATGGGAGCCCGAGGATAAGAGGAGCGATTGGGAGAGCAGGGATGAACGGACTGAAACGTTTTGTAGTAAAAGCGACAAGAGCCATTGTGGAAAAGACGAATGAAAACCCTGATGCCGGGGTCGTAGATCGTAGCACCTCATTTCTGACCAAAGCCATGGCTCCATATTGATTATCCAGACGACATACTTATTCCTTGCGACTCTGGCAATCTCTCGTCCAAGGTAAAGCCAAAGAGGCAGAAATTAGTATTTGGCGATATCTGGAGAAAATAGAATAGACCGCACCGATTGAGCCATTGTTAAGCTGGGCACTGGCGAGGCTCCAAAGGTGTGAGTCAAACTGTGCATCTGAAGAGTTGCTGAAGAGGGCCTGTGATTAGGAGGAGGGAAAAGAAAGGAATTGGCCTTCCAATCTTCCAAATTGTCCACAAATCATTCTCAAATTCACTCGATCTGGATGGATACTCCAAGTCTGGCTCGGAAGACGTGTTATACTCAATCGTCTGGATTTGCTTGCTTGTTCATCTTCTTTCAATGTATCATATCAATGACAAGTTCGTCACGGATCATATTCACCAGTGAACTGAACAGAAATACTGTGATACAGCGAACTGGTGGCTATGACAGGCTCGAAGATCTTAGTGATCCGCTGCGGGCCGGCCGTGGCGTCAGCCGGGCTTCTAAACGCGTTGACAATTAATCTCCAGCATTCGTGGATGCAGGTGACTATGATGGGTTGTCAGAGGTAAGTATGCGAGCAGTCTGGTCCTCAGACGGGTACAAAGGTGATACGGTTCAAATATCTAGAACTGCCGTTGAAAAAGATCCTATAAAAGGCGTAACATGAATTTTCGCTCGATGTGGCACAAACTACCATCATATTGGAGGACGCAGTTCCCTTCTGAGGCCCATATCACCATCCAGGTCCAGAAAGGCTTCGAGTTTCATGGCTCGGGCCCAAATCTGAGGCCCGGCTCCTTGGTCATCGCCGGGCGCCCAAAACATGATAACATCGTGAAGTAAGCGGGCGTCGATTTTCGCCACAAGTAATGGCCTTGATATCTCTGAAATCCAGGTCCAATGTCACGGATTCAAAATTGAGGCACAGAATTCGCACATATATAGCTTGCTGCTGTCGCTCGACGGACTATGACAGAGACTCGGGAGTCGGAGATCACTGCGGCATCGGCGAGGAGCCCGCTTCCCGCTGTATTGTAGCAGCTTAGACAGCTGCTTTAGAAAGCTGCTTACTGTGCCTCTGCTGACTCAGTGAACGTCTGCGGTCTCTATAAAGTCGACCTGGGCATAACTTTTGAGCCCTGTATATTACAAATATGCTTCGATACATCCCCTTGCTCGGGTTTCTTGCCTCGACGGTGGCAGCTACCTTCGACGTCAAGCCATTCACGTTCAACCTCTCCGGCAGCCTTGCTCGAATGAACTCACTTATCGACCAGACCCTCCTTCCGACCAAGCCCGAGCTCCCAAACGATGGTGATTTCGGTATCAGTCTGCAACGATTGACGTCCCTCAAATCCGAGTGGGTCGATGATAAAAAGTATGACTGGAACCAGACTGAAGCTGCTCTGAATTCGTATGTTCCTCTAGTTCTGCATATGACCGTCTTGCTGATGATAATGCAGATTCAAACAATATACCGTCACCATTGAAGGCTTGATTGTTTGTAGTCTTGTAGTTCATGTCAGGGTATCATCTAACGTGTTTCGCCAGATCCATTATATCTATGAAAAGTCCAATACGACGGGTGCTAAACCCCTGCTACTGTTACATGGCTGGCCGAGTGAGATTTCATCATTCTTTGTCTTGAATTTTGACTGATGAATGCCAGGTTCCATTTACGAGTTCAGTCGCGTCATAAGACCTTTGACGCAAGCCGCAACGACGACCAGCAATGGAACCAATGTGACAGCCTCATATGACATTGTGGTTCCCTCTTTGCCTGGTTTCGTCGCATCGTCAGCTCCGCCAGCAAATTGGACAGTAGATGACACAGCTCGAGTCTTCAACACTCTCATGGTTGATGTGCTCGGATACGAAACATATGCCCTTCATGGAACTGACTGGGTTTGTTCTCGTGACCTCAAATTCACTTTATATTTTGACTCAAGAATCAACAGGGCTGTGCAGTTACGAGCCCCACTTGTTGGGCTCGTTTGTTGGGCCTGAGCCATTTTGTTGACACGCCCATCAAAGTACCCGTCGGGGATGTTCACGTGCGGGTATCCCACAGCGCTGACGAGCGCTGACGTGGCCTCTGGCGCTTGTATCCTGATTCCTCTCTCCCATCTTTCATGGTTTGCTGGCAGCTTCTGGACAGCAGCCTGTGGAGCTAGATATTTCCATGCGTCCATGACAAAAGTATGTGCGTCTACTTTTCCTTTGACATTGTGATGAGGCTTCGACAACAGTATTCTGTCATTATACATTCATTCCGAGCATTTTCCCCGCTGTTGGTGTCTTATTGTCTTGTGATTTCATTAGGTAAAGAATCGGCATGCAGATTTTTCAACCGCTCACCACTCGTAACGACATCATGGCATAACGGTATTAGGAGACAGAAAGGCCAAAGTCTGGTCCCCCTTACCATGCTGATCTTTCTGACACCGACAAGCTCAATGGTTGACCAGCTGTCCAAATCTCCTCGTTTCTCTGCTTGTTTTGTTTTTCTTGCTTTTTTTGTGTATTTTCGGACTATTTGAGCTACTGTCCTGATGTTCAGTCAGCTGAGAAATATTTGTAGCTTGTATTCTGTTAGTAGAGTCTACTGTAAGTACCTTCGGTGTTCAAGTTCGGTGTTCAAATTCTGAATTCGGCCGAAGTTCATTTTCGGCTGAAATGCATGTGACGTGCGGTTCAAATCAGAGCGTCGCCTTTGCTTTTCCACCACCACCATGCTCGTTGTAGTCGTCTTCTACTGGTTGTTGCTCTGCGGTCTTCCCTATATTATTCCAACTCATTGTGCCTCTGATCTCGGGACCTCTATTCAGGCTCTTAGTTGGCTCAATGTTGCTTTTTGCGTTGGCGCATTCCTGTTGGCGGAAAACTCGAGCCTCGTCAACTCTGGTTGCTGTGCGCCACTCGTCTCATTTATTCTTAATATTTTTGTCAGAATGCATCTAGTCCCTCAGAGCAAGCATCCCGGTGAAGAGAAGAACAGTGAAGATAATATTGCAGGAGGTCAAAAGGGTAAGGTACGACACACGTAACTACGGCTTTATGTACGAGATTCCGTGTGAAATAACTACGGTTAAATGATCTGAAGAAACCCAACGAAGCCCGAAGCTCGAGCTCGCTCTGAAACAAGGCAGGAATAATTATTCCTCCTGACAATTTTTGTTTTGGTACTCAGATTATAAACTAATATTTCCATCCATTTGTGTTGGTGGTGAAAAAGTAAGGATATGATCCTGGTGAGGTTTGTGGGCTTGCTAACTTAGGGAGTAACCAATGGGGGACTCGTATCTGCCACCAGAACGGTTGGCCTCTATCCCACTGGTTGGCTATTCTGCCTACTCTCAATTCCCTGAAATCGTACTGGCGGCTCAGTTTACCTTCATTCCTTTCTTCCCTCCCACTGCCCAGCAGATTAGCGACGCTGGAATTGTACTGAATCCGTTCGGGCAGTTTTTGGAGGCGCGGTCGACAGAATTTACCACAACGAGCTTTGGCTATTTCATTGAGCAGTCGACCAAGGCCAGTCACTTTCCACTTGATATTTGTCTTCTATTAATTGCTAACTCCATGTCTATAGCCTAACACGATCGGATTGGCATTGCAAGACAATCCTGTAGGCCAGCTTACCTGGCTGGCTGAGAAATTTGACTCTGGTTCGTGTGGTACTGTGTGATGGTGTAGGTCACTGACATCCTCTAGTGTCCGATCCTGCTGGAGAGCACACCGACAGCGATATATTCACCACAGTCTCATTGCTCTTCCTCTCAAAGACATTCTTGTCTTCCGTGTACATCTATGCACAAAATCCCGATCGCTTCACGACCACATATACCAAGGCGCCTACAGATCGACCCATGCTATTCAGCCAATACAAATGGAATATCGCATACTGGCCCGAGGAATTCGTTGCCAAGGTCGGGAATCTTGTGGTATATAAAGGTTCGTATACTTGACTTGAATGGATAATGTAAGGTCTGACTGATGTACTTACTAGAACATGACAAAGGCGGTCATTTCCAAGGATTGGACAATCCTGAGGGGTTGATCGAAGATCTGAGAGAGGTCTATGGGTACTATTAGAGTCTGTGTGGTTATTATTAGAATGGATACGAGGCTACTCAGCTTGGAGTCACTTGTGCAGCCTCTCGAGTACAGTTTGGCAATTGTATCAAGTGATCGTCGCGAATATGTTCTAAAACTATGTTCCTGGCACTTGTCTGAACATCTTGGTGAAGCAGACTGCATCGTTGGTATTCGCACTTTGGGCCTCATAACCTTGACAAGAGGTGACTGAGTTCTTCGCTATGTTCACACCGAAGTCTTAATCATACTTCAGCC